ATGACGCACAAAGCATAAGGACAATAAATGACGTACAAAGCATAAGGGCAATAAATGACGCACAAAGCATAAGGACAATAAATGACGCACAAAGCATAAGGGCAATAAATGACGCACAAACAATAAGGACAATAAGTGTCGCACAAAGCTTAAGGACAATAAATGACGCACAAAGCATAAAGGCAATAAATGACGCACAAAGCATAATAAGGACAATAAATGACGCGCAAAGCATAATAAGGACAATAAATGACGCACAGTTTTGAGTTTGTGTTGTCGATGTGCACACCCGCTTTCAGCAAAATATTACGCAACTGCATTGTGTGGTTAGCATTTGCGTCCCCATTATTCTTATTAAACCGTTCTGAAAATATTTCACAGCTGAGGGTTGGATCTTCCAAAAGTTCAGGTTTAAGACGGGCAAGTAAACAATCCTAACAAAGACGAATTTCTATTCAATGAAGAGAGTCTTATGATGAAATTAAATGAAGGCTAGAAGTAGAGAGGGATACAAATTAGAACATCCTTACAAAGCAATTATGTTTAATAAGCAAAAAATGCGGGTGAAACCACAATCAGGAACCTGAATGAATGAGAGACTGAAGACCGCGTTTGTAAATCAAATGCAAGCTTGCTATAACAGGAGAGGTGCCTAAGAGCTGTCAAATAGAAGAATAACGACAGACAACAGCTGGCTGCTATTGTGAAAGTATCCGCTCTTTAAAAAAGTAAATAAATGACAAGATAAGGTGGATATGACCCTCGTCCCGTCTTCCGCTCCACTTCACATTAACGTAAATAAATGCTCGCTTTAAAGCACAAGGGGGCTATTCAGAAAAAATGCTGTTTTGAGAAAATCGAAGTTAAAGTTTTTGCCCCTTGTTCAGTTTCTTTAAAAGACAAGGAGAGTTTTCTCTTTAAACAAACAAATGAACACACCAGTGAAACCGAACTTCCTCTATTGGTAGTGCAATGCCCACTTTTGGTATAGGTCAAGATTTCGGGGAACCCCCGAAATCTGGTTTAGCCCTCTTGTCCTTAAAAGGGACGAAATGTATTTCTCAGTGCACAAGTTCTAGGGCTGGGATCGCAGATATTCAACTTACCCAGACGCAAATATAGACACTGGAGTCATCAACAGAAAAAGGTCAAAGGACTATGATGAAAATAGGCCAAGAAGCCTTTCTGGTCGACCAATAGAAAGCGAATTTTGTTTTGCGAGCGAGGCCGTGGAAGCAAACACGTCTTTATGTTGCTCTAAAGATGCGTTTATGGAAAACTTTGGACTGGGTTTATCGTTTCAAAATCTACCTTAGTTCAATCTTCTTCTATCATCTTCTACTTATAGAGACAAGGAAACAGCTTAGGGGTGTTCCCCCATGACACTATTCGTCCCTGACGGATAAGTGTTTTGAGTCCACTGTCTAGTGAACAACTTCCATGTAGGTGTTCGGTTTTTTAATTGTTTGAAATGAAGACGAATTAATTAATATAGTGTACCCCACTACATAATAAATGGAAAGGAAATTTGGTATTTTAACTTTAACTTTAAGAGCGACAGGCCTGGTTCAGTATAACAATCGTTTCATTATTCAGCGAAATATACAGTGCTGCATTGTACATTATTCCACTGACTTTGTCCTGCATGCTTGAGGCAGCCGATAATACTGTGCTGTGTATTAGATTTCTAGATAATTTCATAATGCATGCATTTTTTCTTTTTTCTGTTTTTCAGAAGTTAACTGAAGTAAGGGCGCCAACTGGCAGGCGCTTTGCACCATGGGAGTGCTAGGCCAGACTTTACTTCTGCTATGGAAGAACTTGATTTTGCGGGTTCGGTATCCTGTAAGTATCTATCTTTCTATCTATCTATCTATCTATCTATCTATCTATCTATCTATCTATCTATCTATCT